AGAAACAGCGTTGGTGATAGCACACAGCCTTGTGGAACACCAGCGTTAATAGGCTTGTAGTCAGAACATGCACCGTCTACAACGACCTTGATGCTCCGATCTGCAAGAAAGCTGGTGATCCAATTGCACAATTTCTCGGGAAGCCCATAGGAAGGCAGCTTTGAAAGAAGCGCTTTGTGCCAAACCCGATCAAAGGCCTTCGCAATGTCCAGACTAACGGCCAACGCCTCCCCCTTGGACTCTACTGCCTCCGCCCATCTATGGGTCAGGTAGACAAGAAGATCACCAGCTGATCGACACCGACGAAAACCGTATTGGCGGTCACTAATCAGCTGGTGATCCTCAAGGTACCGGATGAGTTGGCAGTTAATAATGGATTCCATTATTTTGGAGAACAAGGAGGTGATCGCGATAGGCCTATAGTTGGACGGGTCTGAGCGGTCGCCTTTTTTAGGGATCGGGTGGACAAAAGCTGTCTTCCATGAATCCGGGACTACGCCTTGGGAGTAGGAGTACCGGAAAAGACGCGTTAGGACCGGTGCCAACTCCGGAGCACACGTCCTCAGCACAATTGGGGGGATTCCGTCAGGCCCACTCGACTTCTGGATGTCCAGGGAGAGCAGTGCTTTGCGAACCGAGCGCTGTGAGAACAGCACATCCGGCATGGAGCACTCACACCGCGGGATGGTCGGCGGTGTTTTCCCCCCGTCATCAAGAGTCGAGTTGGACGCAAAAAGGGAGCCTAAAAGGTCGGCTTTGTCTTTTGCGTCATGGGCCAGTGAGTCATCCTCCCTGTGCAGAGATGGTAGTGATGGCTTACAGAAATTCCCTTGGACAGCCTTGGCGAGAGACCAGAATGCACGGGTTCCCGAAGGAAGGCGAACTAGTCTCTCGCCAATTCTGCCTATGTGCTCTGACTTTGCCTTGGCAATAACTCTTTTGAAGGACCTGGAGGCGAAGTTATACTTCTTTTTAAGTGTGCTGGTGTTTACATCCCGAGTCACCGAAGCTGCAGCCCAGGCTTGATAACACTCCTGCTTACTGCGCAATGCAGTCTTACAGGAGCAACCAAACCAAGGCTGAGATCTGCCTCCGATGGGTACCACAGATGATGGAATAAATAGTTCCATTCCCTGTAGCACCACATCAGTGACAGAGTCAGCAACAGCACTGGGATCATCCGGCGAGAAGCAAACCCGCCCCCATGGGTAGGATGCAAAGAAAGATCGCATTCCGTCCCAATCCGCCGACCTGTAATGCCAAACACGGCGGCAACCTGCAGAACGCAACCGCGAAGGGAGCGTGAATGGCACCATACTCCGGATCAGACAATGGTCCGAAGAGCCGAGAGGGGCATCGACGGAAACCTGATATCCGTCCGGATGAGAGGTCAGCAGAAGGTCCAACAGGGAAGGTGTATGATCCTCCACATCTGGAATCCGCGTAGGCGAAGTAACCAGTTGTGTCAGACCATATGCCAAGGCAAAGTCATAAACAGATCTCCCCGCATGATCGGTTAAACGTGAACCGAGCCATTCGGCATGGTGGGCGTTAAAATCGCCAAGGATCACGATCTCTGCGGATGGGACCTGTTGTAGCAAGGAATCTGTAGCCATTTGGACGTGGTCGATGAGTCGGTCTGTTTCGGCATTACCGCTATGGGACCTATAGAGGCACCCGTAGACGCGCGGATGGTCGTCGCTGTCTACGCGTAGCCAAAGGATGGACAGGTCCGAACCTTCAAGACTGCCGAGGCGTCGAGAACAGATGTCCTCTCTAACATACACGCAAACTCCAGCCCGAGGCACAAAGGAGTGCTCCAATTTGTACCCCGGGTAGGAGAGATACGAAATATCAGTCGGAGAGGAAACCTGCGTCTCGGTCAAAAAGAGCAAGGCCGGCTTCGCCGTCTCGAGATGGTAGTGGACGGCGTTTAGGTTACAGTGAAGTCCCCTGATGTTGCAGAAATTCACGGATAGCGTGGCAGGGGTCGCCTTGGTATTGTTGCTCAGCTTGCCCCGAGCAGTTTTGTTTTTGAGCGGAATTTTGCCCCCCCCAGAATACGCGGGGCAGCCTGAGCACCCACGCTCAGGATTGGAATAACATGGTCGTGGATGCTCAGCGAGGGATTCTCCAGGGGTACTGGTACCCTCCTGGGGTAGTCTATTGTCTAATTCCGCTACCATGTTGATGGGGGGGGGGGGGGGAATTGGGCCTCCGGCCACCTGCACTCACCAGACGAAACGCAGAAGCAGAGCCTCTACTTCACGCCGGTATTCTGTGAGGTCGTGGTACCAACCCGGCTCGAGCCGGCCCATACGTGCAACAGCAAAAAACTGCTGCAGGGCTCTACCACCGTCGTTATTTGTTTTTGTCCTTCCTTCACGCAGCAACGGAACGGAGCAATTTAAAAAAAATAAACATTTTGCTATCTCTTGGCTGAAGTTTACGCTTAACCAAATGAGGATCCGTAACGTTTTTAGTTGAGAATGCAGATTTATAGATCTAAGAAATCCTTAAAATACAGTGCAAAAATTTTTGTTCTACGACAAAAATTGACGAAGTTATTACCAAATTACTAGCGAAGTTCACTGACAGCCCGGCGCGGTAGCTGTGACGTCACTATGACGGTCTTCGCCAGTTAGCCGTTGGCAGCGATAAGGCGCGCAGTGTTTTGTTTGGTTAATTGTGACTGAAACAAGTTAAGTGTCCGATTTGTGTCTAATTCACCTTTTTAACTATATATAAATATTGTATAGTGCCGAAATGTACAAACACTTCTATTAAAACACCAGAAAAACTATTTTTTAACGTACCGAAAGACCCAAAACTTCGTAAAAAATGGTATTCCATTGCAAAAAGAGATGATAAAACTACACCCTCTGCCCAGGCTACAAGACATTGCTGTGAAGATCACTTCGATGTACGTACCTACATATCTATTATACCTATTATTTAGTTGATATGGAAATAAGTTGGTACCTTATGTTACGTGTAGTGTACGTGTGTATTCTCTTATTTTAAGCCTCCTGTATTAATAAAATCATACCTATTTACTTTTTCTAAGTTTTGTTGATAAACCTACGTACTAACGTAAACCTATATATTCGCCCGTTCCCATTTCTATGTATTACTAGCTTTTGCCTGCGGTTTCACCCGCGTTGAATTCAGTTTGTCACAGAAAGTTTTTATCTCACCTCTATTTCATCCCCTTAAAGTTTTATTTTTGCGATGAAAAGTAGCCATTTAAAGATCTCAGTTATTTCTATACCAAAAGTCATTAAAATCGGTTCAGATGTTTATATCGTAGACTGGTATACAGTAATCTGTGGTTTATATGTAAAAACATCGTATTTCGTATTCCAAGGTTAAAACAATGACATAGAGACGTACTCGGGTAAAAAGCAAAGAGTGAATGATAATATTCTTTAATCATTTACATTACAGCGGTGAATTTATGTATCTGCCTCAGCTATGCCTTATTGTTAGAAGCAAATAAATTAATACTTATATTCATTTTTATATTTTCAGTTAGAAGAAGATATGGAAAATTACGTAAAGTTTAAGTTAGTTGGAGGAAAGCTTAAACTAAAGAAGGGAGTTTTGCCTCATAAGTTTGAATGCCAAAAGCCCCAAAAAAGAAAATTGACAGACCCGGTTTTAAAAAACGACAAGACATTGAATATTTTGAAAGAATTTTAAGTAGAGATATTGGACACGAAGACCTGTTGTTGCATTCCATTGAAGTAGTAGAGTGTGAAAATCAAGACTCAAATAACATCCAAAACAGTGATCCCCTTAACATACCTGAAGAAATAGACGTATTATCAAAAAACAATGTAAGGAGTCAAAAAACACAAGCAGTGCAGGTTAATATGAAACCAAAAATGAAAACTAAATCTAATAATACGCCAATGAAATGGAAACAACCAATAGTTAAAAAAAAAGTAATCCCTAAAAATCTTGATCCAAACGTTAGCTTCACGATCAGCAACTCAAACTCAAGTGAAAATACTCGTTCTTTTGGTGTTAATGCTAGTGATAACGAGTCGAATGATTTAGAAATAACAAAAACGATGAACAAAAATTTCTTCAATGAGCATATGCAAAAGGGCGCTCTAATGGCTATATCTCGAGATCCAAAATTACTGATAGGCATTCCTGCCCATTCATATTTTTGTATCAAACATTTACAAAACTTCACGGAAATATCATCTATTGAAATCCTAGTGACTTTACGAAAAATCCGATGGCATGACCCAAACTCAATGCTTGCAATACATTTTGGCCTCTCTGAGAGTTCTGTGACTAAATATTTTAATAAAACTCTCCCAAAAATTGCACTGTGCCTGAATCGACTTATTATCTGGCCATCAGCAGATGATGTCAGAGAAAACTTGCCGATAGCTTTTAGGAAGCGCTATTCTAAAGCGATTTCAATAATCGATTGTTTTGAAATTCAAATCGAGAAACCTAGTAACGCTTCGCACCAAGCGGCTACATGGTCTCAATATAAAAGCTGCAATACCATTAAGTACTTGATTTCAATTACACCTGACGGTTTGATAAACTTTATCTCAGAGGGATATGGAGGGAGGACTCCAGACTCAACAATATTTGAAGACAGCGGATTTCTTGACAAATTGGCACAAGGAAGTATTGTGTTAGCTGATAGGGGTTTCAAAAATATTTCCCATTTACTGGAACAACGTGGTTGTACACTTCTGAGGCCGCCTAGTGTGAGTTCCAACTCAAAACTTACAGCAGAGGAAGTCTTGCAAACAAAGAGAATCGCTGCTATAAGAGTTCACGTTGAAAGAAGCATAGGGAAGTTGAGAGACTTTAAAATGATCGGACCTCACGCATGTGTCGATATTTCATACATACATTTTTTGGATAATATTGTAACAATAGCCTGTGGCTTAGTTAATTTACAGAATTGTCTATTTAGTAATCAAGTATAAAAACAAAATGCTTTCGTTTCTTTTATAGTTTTATTTGGACAACCTCGCAACATCAAAAGCACATGTTATATTATTAATAAAAGAATAATTTTAAGTCTCAACCAGTTTCGGAAACACTGATGTTTTCCAAAAATGCGTGGACTTCTCTAAAAGATCAGTACAATAATTTTCATCATAATCTTCTTCAAATATTTCCACTTTTTTATTGCTTTCAAAATTTTCATTAGCTACACAAAACAATCCCTTGACTTTATTGCAAAAAAACATTTGTAGCTGAATTTGAGCTTTCCATTTGCTGCCGATAACACTATTCTTTACAAAACTTTCCTTTCCTTTCTTTGTCGAGGGACATTTTATTTCTACTACGTATTCACTTGTCAATCCATCCGGAGAAGCACCCAAATGAGGCCAATCAGGTTTTAAAAAGAAACCACAATTTTCAATAACTATTTTCCTTGTTTTGGCTACTTCTGCTCTGACATTGGATTCCAATCGTTTGCCTCTTTTCATAGACAGAGTCTCTGGTACATAGGCACCAAATATTTGTTCAATCAAAGCACCATCAGGAGTCTTGCAATGTGCGGCTTCGTGAACTTTAGACGCGGTTATTCTACAATACCTTAACTCATGCCATAACGGTGAACTAGCTTGACAAACTGTTGCTTCCTCTGCTTTGTGACATTTCTCTATGGTGATTTTAGTAGAACAATAATCAATAAAATCATCTGCACTATTTATATTATTGCCTTCATTTTTGTATTGATGAACGAGGTTATGCAAAGACAATTTTTTATACTCATTCTTTGTAACGTATACTGATAACTGATTTTTGATAGAATTTTCCTTTAGGCTTTGCACAACTGCTAGGAAAAACTGATCTGAATTGGTGTTATCAGTATTTTTATCTTCAGTAGTAACTGAGCTGGGACCCATATCTTTAGCTTTTATAAATTTAGTACCTATAGTAGCCAGCTTTGGTTTGGCCCAGTAACATTTTTTTTCAGTAGGAGATGGCTCTTCGCTGCGTCTATGAAGCCACATCAAAAATGCTACGCTATGTTTGCAGCCTCCCTTTTGAGCAGCACAGTCATGACAGTTCACGTTCAAAACCATTTCCTCTTTTTCATCACATGTAAATGTACAGCTATACGCTTTACTTTTTATTCTATGTTCAGGCGTTATTTTTGCTTTTACCGTACATACATGTCCCGACCTCTGGACTTGAACAAATCCTACAGCATCATCTCCATAGGTTTCACGTGCTGATCTGTAATAAATAAAAAAAAACAAATAAAAATATACAAATAACAACATTCTATCCTATCCTACTATCTTACTTCCGACTAATATTATAAATGTGAAAGTTTATGAGGATGAATGGATCTTTGCTCCTCTTTCAAGCAAAAACTGCTGAACAGATATGTATGAAATTTTACAGCAACCGTGCATTTTTCTGGTATAAAAAGTATTTTATCTCGGAAAAATACACGGTTCCTCTACGATAAATAAATAGTAGTCTATGCGTACGAAGCCTCGGGCGTTCGCTAGTATTATATACACTTTTCATTTATACAATACAAGTCATCCTACTTAAATACATACTGAACGAATGATTTGTAACAATGAGCAAGATGACAAAAAAAAAACTGCCATTGGCAACCAATATTAAGGTTTCTGTCATAGATCAGCAAGTGTAGGGAACCATGCACTAAATAAAATGCAAGTAAGTTAAAAAACCATCTGCAAAATGATCTACATATGTATGAACGAAGACAACATTCCTTTTATCAAGATACTATAAGCACTTTATTCATAAGTTATGAATACGTCCCTGTAACTATACAACATTCATTCTTTCTTTCATTTACCTATACAGCTTATTCCTAAAGATTACTAATAGGTACCTACGAACGTAGATAAATAAGCAGCACCCTTACCTTTGTAGTTTCCAACCACGGATTTCGGCGCTGGTGAACTTAGAATGATTACTTAGATAATCAAATACCATGAAAGAATCCACTTTTGGAAGGTTATCTGATTGAGCTTGCACAAAACTAGCTTCTACTTTATTAGCACTCATATTATGTACGTTTAATACTTAAACAATCACAAAATTATACTGTAACAACACTTTATTCAAATAAATTTCTAAATATAGTGCCCAACCGCGTCTCCGCACTCCAACGAATCGTGAACTACCACAGAATACATGTATGAACTACTATGACGCGTTCGTTTCCGTCGCTGTGACGTCACGCGGACCTGCGTACATCGACTTTTAGCGACAGAAACGGCCTATGTTTATTACTTAATATTTTCGTAAATAATGGTCCGATTTGGCTATTTCAAAAAGATATATAATTCTTATCTCATAAAGAATAACATGGATACTAGTTTTATTGAATTTTCTATAACTTTACTGATCCTCATTTACTTTTTTTCGTCATTTTACTTAGGATTGAAAAATAATTTAATGTCTTCGTAAAAAGTGTCAATAATTTGTGTTCTACAGTACAAAAGTGTAGTACTTTGTATATATTTAGTAATAATAGATTATAAATATGTTACATACATAAATATCTACTGTGCTTTTTTATTTATTTTAACTGTTACATTAATTATAGGTTTTTTTACATATCTTCAATATTTTAATGCGATGTTCGTACCTACATAAAACACGCATAAGCAACCATATCCCCATACACACACACACACACACACACACACACACACACAAATGCACACGCCACGCACACACATTTTATACTCTTAGAATCAATAGGTACTTCAATAGGAATGAAATATAAAATCTCCCACATTTTTTGGGTAATCGATTCGCACTGTTATTACCGAAGTCACGCACATTAATGCAGTCATGGTGCGTAAGATATGCGCGTCACGTGGTATTCACGCACACATGAATCAAAGACTGTCTTCATTATGAACGTTGCGGTGTGTTAGCAACACGGTATCTGGACCTATAAAACATCTTTGGTCACGGTCAGTAGGTTACGTAATCAGTTCACAATAACAATTGAATTTACAAGTAATCGAAACAAAACTTTTACTTCCTCGAATATAAACATAATTCTTATTACTTACTAGGTACGCGACGTGTCCAGCGCGGTGTCAGTTTGAAAATACTTGCAAAGAGTATAGTAATATATAAGGAAGAATACTTGCATAGGAATTCGACCCGCTTTCCATGTTAGGCTATTATGACTAAGGAGCAAAGTCGTATAAATAAAAAAAATACTTTGAAGTTCAAAGTATTTTTCATTCACAAATACGATTGAGTTTCTTATTACTATTGAGATATGGATCATTTTCCTATGCAAGTATTCTCATACTTGCAAGTATTTTTTTGTCGTAAAAGGACGCCATACTTTAAAGTTAAAAGTTTTAACTTTGAACTTCAAAGTATTTTTTTTAAAAAAAAAAAAGGCTTAAGCACGGAATCAGTTCATTGTATTTTACGCGACAGAGGATCTAATATGATAAAAGCTATGAATATGGCCAATTTCACTGATGCAAACTGTACTATTCATCAACTACAATTATGTGTGCGATCAACGATGGAAATCGAAGAATTTCTCTCGTCAGTAATTACGAAGTGCAAGAAAATTGCAACTCACTTCAATCACTCCCTAATCGCGCAAAATGAATTGAAACAAATTCAAACAGAAAGACTGAACCAATCAGGACTAAGTATAATTCAGGAATGTTCCACACGGTGAGATTTTTTTATTCTATTTTATACACCTATCTATTATGTAATTTTTTTTTATTTGATTTGACATTGTTTTTTCTTTTTTCACAGATGGAACGCGACGTATTATATGATGAAAAGAATATTGACATTAAAAGACTCCTTAGTACTGTATTCGGGCGCGCATGATATACCAATTCTTAATGCTGATGAATGGCTCGACTTGAAAAAGTGTGTTGCAATACTAAAGCCGTTCGAAGAAATTACAAAGGAGTTAAGTAGTGCTACTGCAACAATAGCATCAGTGATTCCATTAATATATACTCTTAAAAACACACTAGAAACAGAGAAGAGTAAAGAAGAGACTTCTGAGAACTTCAAATTAATGATTACGAAAATGATCCAAGACATCAATGTCAGATTTCAGGATATTGAAAATAATAAAATATATACAATAGCTACTTATCTAGATCCACGGTTTAAACTCAAGTTTTTTACTGAAATTACGAAGGAACAGGTACAGTCTGAGATTCTGGGGATTCTTGGGTGTTCAAAAGCTTCTCGTGATGAAGGTCCTTCTTCACCTAAGAGATCACGGAATGAGATTCCGACAACAAGCTCAAGCAACTATTCACACATTCAATCTTGTCTAGCTGAAATATTAAGCTTAAGTGACGAGGAAGAGCAAAACATAGATTGTGGTGATGATGTGCACAATCAATTTATTGTTAAAAAGACATTACTAAATGAATACAACAGGGAGAAACGATTGACACTCAATGAAGATCCACTTTTATGGTGGAAAATGCATACCAAGTACCATTGCTTAAGTGATTTAGTAAGACAGTACCTTTCTCCACCTCCTGGAAGTGTACCAAGTGAGCAGCTTTTCAGTGCAGCTGGGTTAATTTATGACCCCTTAAGAAATCGACTTTCTGGTGATAAGGCTGCGAAATTGCTTTTTGTTAAGTATAATTTACCTTTGCTTAGTTTCGACTATTAAAAGAAATCATTAAGTGAAAGACAAGTAAATATTTTGTTATGTTATGTTCAGATTTTAGTTTTTATTCTTCAATATGCAAAGACTTAAGAAGACTGATTTATGCGTTGTAATAGTTCCTAGAAATATATTGAAGAATATAATAGAAAAAAAAACTAATAGCATTGTTTTTGATTATAATAATTTTGTAATAGCATTTTTAAGTAGATAACTTAAAAATATGTAGGTAGCTACATTAATTAGTATACTATTCTTATAAAATTGTTAATTACTTGAATAAATGACTGATTGTAACCAAATGATAACCAAGATATAAAGCCAAATGATTACCTACTTATTTGTATTTTACTTAAATACCTCAAAAATCTTATCCGATCCGAAACTAACGGATAATCCGAAATAATTTTATATCCGTAACCGAAACCGAAACCGATATAATATTATTCCCATATCCGTATCCGTATCCATATCCGAAATATCATATCCGTAACATCCCTGGTTAAAACCTGGTAGCGTAAATACGTCTCATTGCGACGGGAGGGACGTGTCCAGCCGTGGCGTCAAAATTTGTAAATACTTGCATAGTGTAACGAACCCCCCCCCCCCCCATCTTTTTTCTCTTTTCTAGTATATCCCACTTATACTTGTATTTCTTTAGAATCTATATCTGTAAGATATATAAATATATCTAATTTACGTGACCAGTATAACTTGATCTTTCTAAAGGTTTAAATATAGGCCGTTTAATAAATTTATGGCGTGATCGTCTTAGTTAGGACCCTTTTTTACGTTGTGTTTGTATAGTAACTTAGTTCTTTTAGGTGTATCTTGGAAGAATGAATATTCACGAGAGCAATCGAAAGCTGTTGGTAGAGTCTTATAAGCTAAAGAACCCCGTTCACGAAGACAGAGCTCAAAAAGGTTAAGAACAATAAATTGTCCCTATTCCACTTGTATCTGGTTCACAACAGTCAATTCCTTATTAATTAATCCCTTCCCGCTTGGAAAAGGCTCACAATATTTATATCAAATACCAGCTACAAGGGCTTCGCTCTCCCACATTTTAAAAAAAATGTGGAGGAGGTACACGGCCCCACACACGCCGCGCACGGTGAGCGCCAACCATTTTAATGCGCTCCCCCCGAAGGGTACGCAAAGTTGGGAACTGGACCGTAGTCCACAGCAAAATAACTGGCGAACCAGTAAAAGAGGACTTGGCCCCTTGATAGTGCGTAAGCACAAACATCGACCGAAGTCGCGCATGTCAATGCGTGTAAACGCCATACAGAATACGATCAAATCCAGCCACAGTGAAATGTACGTCACACGGGTTAGGCAACAATCGACACACTGACCATAAAAAGCCTTCCGTGAGCGCCACCACCTGCAAGACCGCCGTTCCTGCAGACGTGATGTAAGTGTAAGGCATCACCACCAATTGCATGGTCAGCACGGCCAATTGGCCGCAGAGCGTGTCATGAGTCTACCGCTCACCTCAAGGGAATGGGGTCCCACGTTGCGCGGCTTTCGGCCGCAGCCTTGAGAGCCTCCTCAGATTCTCCCTCCAGCTACCACCCGCATGAGGTCAACACATATGCTCCACCAACCAATACAATGGCAGATATAGCCAATAGGCAGTTATAAGATAATATTAATAATTCGCCATCAGAAAGGGTTTGTGTCACTGACGTTGAGTATATGCATTTTTCGATCATGTTTGTCTCACCCACCAACAAGTTGCCTTCAATCTCTCAAAGGTGGGAACTTTATAGAGATATATTATTAAGTTGTTATATAAAACATCATGGAGGGCAGACAGTCTGCAGCCCCGCAATGAAGGGACCCGACTTGGGCAAAGCTACTTAGGTTGTGAGTCAAACCAAGACGCAGAGAGCGCCATTGAGAATAGCGACCCGCCAAACAACCATCGTAGAGACGCAATGCTACAGAATGCAACAAGCATCAATACGACTATCGTCGGGCTTACACCATCCCAAGGTCCCCCATACAGTCCCAGCAGACATCACCACCCGCATACCTCCATCGACCAGAACCACAAGATGCATCGAATCAGGTGCAGCACACCCGCAGATCCATCACAAGACACAATACTGCAAGTAGCAGTAAGCATCAATGCAACTATCATACGGATGGCGCCCCCTCACAACACACCCACATGATCCCTATCGACTTTGGTAACAAAATTTGATAATGTTGTTAACTAAAAATACCACAACGTATCATAGTAGTACGGTACTAAGACGTCAGTAGCCAATACTCCACGTATCATAGCGCTATTGCACTAAGACATGAAGTTGAGTATGCTTGCTGCACTTAAAAGTACTACCAAACACACTCACCCTAATCCGAAAGATAGCCGACGTATCATAACGCTATGCGCTAAGACGCCGCCCACAACCGGTAGGGGTGTGCGATGTCCACGGGCAAGTCGTATTGCTACAACAAACCCGCTTACCACCGGCACTAAGATGATATGTCTAGGACACATCGGTTAGTGAGTCCAAGTTTACCTCGATCTCAGAGGCTGCGAAGCAACCTACACGCCACTATAATAATCCTTTTCAAGTCCCATTTCTTTCAATATAATGCTTTTACATATTTGAGACCTTCCACATATTTGCTTTATTTCATAGACCATACTACTGTATGTCTTATTCATATGGGACTTCAAGTCATAACTCTGCTATCATAATGCTTATGCATCATAGAGACCTTCTATATTAATGCTTTGGTTCGTCAGACCTTACTATGTTAAGTCCCTAATATAGGACTAGTCATTGTGCAACCTTAGTACTAGCAGTCGGTCAGCCGACCACCCCATATATATGTACAACCTTGGGTATGTGTCTCCGACAACGCCCCAATATAAGGGAACATTACAAGAACACGTTCATTAACTTAGAAATTTTCCAATTATTACACGAACACCTTCATCAACTTAGAAAATTTTAATCCATTTTTTCTATTATATTACAAATGTTATTTATCTTTGTTATTGCAATATAATCGCCTTGTATTTATATGATTTGATATATTTTAAACATTTTAAGCAGGTTTTTAATAAATTTAGAGATTTTTTGAGACATTTTATGCGTTTACTAATATATATAATATTCAATATTCCAAATGGATATTTTTGAACTCTATGCTTATTATTTGCATTTTATTGTTTAAATTATAATTTCTATGACATTTTTAAATGTCTGTATAATGAATTTAATTATTATTTATTAATAATAATTATGAGGCGTCACAATCCACCCCCAAATTTTATGTTAATTATCCACATAGTGGAGTCGTTAATATAAAATTTTAGTATTTTGAGAGCATATTCACTACACTCAAATAATTGTTGATATATCTGTTCTTTCCTCTTTTAATCTGTTACAATACGGCATATGTTATCAAATCCCCCTGCCCCAGAGAATGGCCGCCACCAACACCCCTTCAACCACAATTATCACAATGTGATAACACCATAATTCAAATTATTGTATATCGTGTTATCGTTGTTAATAAAGTTTGCAGTCAATTGTCGATTTCTTATTTTATTAATTTATCTTTAAATCTTTGAAACATTATTTCGATAGTGTCACACTTTATGTGCATACAATCCAGTTTGATATTTGTTGAGGTCAGTTCGATACCACATAGGATAAATGTGTTTGAGCCATTCGCCCTGACCCAACTCCCATATTTATTTAATAAAAATGATTACAAAATTATCTTGCGATCTATATTTACAACTCTTCATTATATATTAATAACGTTCTACTATCATATAACAAATCTCTTGCTCATAACTTTAATAATTTTAGACCTTTAACTTAAACAATTATTTCCATGGGCCACCCACAAAACCCTTTTATGTTACAATATTTATTTAATTACTCTAATTTATACAAAAAGAAATTATTATTTAAAATATTTTAATAAGTGAATAGCATTGAAAATTCCTCAAATTTCGTTTGTCTCTGGATTTGCTAAGGTATATACATTGTCAAATGGTACGGCTGCTATTACATAAGGCCCTTCATATGCCAAATTGAACTTACTCATAACTTAATTATCAGCGTCTGATCTACTAGATCTTGAAATTTTTACTAAGTCACCAATATTATATTTTATTAATCTATTTCGCTTATCAAATTTTATGTTTCTTATTCGACTTGCCTCTTTTAAATTTTTACGCACTTGTTGTCTAATTTGTTCGACATTATGTTTTTCTTTGCTTTTGGAAATTACTTTGTCAAAAGACATCTCATTAGACTCACCATAAAGAATTTCACAAGGCGTGAAGCCTGTACTATTGTGATAAGAATTATTATACAATTCTTCTAATTTCGGCAATATTAACGCCCAATCTTTGTGGTTAGTATGACAAAGCGTCCTAAATAATCTGCTCAACTCTTTATTTACTCGCTCTGTTGTATTTGGTCTAGGATTTCTAACTGTGGTATATCAGTGACGAAGTGGCGCTTGAGTCGTTCGGACGGGTATCATTGCGCGCACGGTTATAATCGTTTAGTATTTTTTTTTGTGTTTTACCCGCTTCTACGGCCGGGCCTCGCGGGACCGGCCGTTTTAATGAACAATAATGGAAGCCGATCTTATTTCGACTGAATCAGCGGAGGAAATAAGAGATCATCTTTTGGAAGACCCAATACTAGATGAAATGTCTGATCATTTGGACGAGCAATTAGACTACGAACCTAGCCAAATATTAGGCAAAAGAGGAAGGAAAGGTTCGCCTTCGGACCTTCAGACCGAACAAAAAAAAGCTAAAGGAAGTGAGCAAGTGGGCTGGGAAAAAGTACAAAGTAGAAAAGAGAGATCTAAAGAAGCAAAAGATAGTATTGAAATATGTATAACGTCTAAGGAGAAGTTCCCGAAACAGTTTGCCCTTGCCAAATTATTTAAAAATCAGAATCTAAACATTGTTAGAGTTAAATATATTAATTCATACAAAATAATTGTAGAGCTATATGGAGAAAAAAATGCAGATTTGTTAATACAGTGTGATCATCTTTTGGGAATGGGTTGGAGGTTTCAGCGACCATTTGAAGTAGGACTATCATATGGCGTGATCAAGAACATTGAATTAGATTTATCAGAAAAAGAACTTTTTGAATCGATATCTTGCTCAGTTGAGGTGGCCAACGTGAAACGACTCAAACGCAGAAAGCAGGGTGATGGAGAATCTGGCTGGACTGAAAGTGAATCGGTTCGAGTTGGGTTCAAAGGGCCTTCGTTACCGTCGTATCTGTGCATATATGACATACAAGTTAATGTGGAGCCATATCTATTTCCGGTTACTCAGTGTTCGAGATGCTGGCGCTTTGGGCACACCCTTAGAATGTGTCCTTCAAAACGCATATATTGCCCAAAATGTGGAGGCAGGCATGAGAATTGCGACACTACTATTTTTAAATGTATTAATTGTACAGAAAACCATATGGCATTGAATCGGCGGTGTCCAAAATATATAAAGGAGAAGAAGTTACGCGAAATAATGGCTGAATTTAATGTTTCATACAGGAAAGCAATGACAATGTATGTAATCCCCGAAACACCTACTTATGAGCGTACTCAGTCACCAATTAAAGGTTTAGGTAGTTTAAATACGATGCCTCAATTGCCGGAACCTACCCCAGGAACTTCGAAGGAGTTCTTCAGCTCCATTTTGCCGGTTCAGGACAATTTTACACCAGTTACTTACGCACAGGCCGTGTCATCGACACCCGTTGACAAGAACAAACTGGACAGTGGGGGAAAAAGATCTGATCAAAATAAAGACAAAACTAAGAAAAAAATCAAGAAGAAAAAAATTCAAGAACCTAGTTTAGAAGAATATTTACATGATGAAAATATGTCGACAGAGATTGAAAGTAGTGTGTGTGATCAACCAGTGCCTGAACAAAAGAAAAAGAAAGGTCGTAGTGTACAATCTGATATTCCTTTTTTTAATTTATTAAGCCAACTTAAAAGTTTTATCTTTGAAAGTAATGAGCCTTTGAAGAGTAGAATCGAGAAGGTAGTGCACCTATGTTTTGAATGGGCCATCACATGGATTTTTAAAAATATCTCGAACTTGTCTTTTTTACAAAATTTATTCAGTAATTATAGGTAAAGTCAGTCTTAACATTTTGCAATGGAATGCTCAAAGTATTAAGTCAAAGTTAGTGGAATTTGAACAACTTATGTGTCAGGAGAAAATTCATATCGTCGCGCTCTCGGAAACATGGTTGAACCCTGATATAACACTTAACTTAAAAGAATACAGCGTATTTAGACTTGATAGGGCAGACTCTTATGGCGGAGTGGCTTTAATAATACACAGATCTCTTTCGGCTCAGATGCTTCCACTGCAGAGTGCTAATGCGGCTATTGAGGTGATATCCGTTAAAATCTCTAATTGTGAAATTGTTGAGAATATAATATCTTTATATTGTTCTCCTAGTGCTCAAACTTCATGTAGTGATTGGGATTCAATATTTTCGTTTTCTGATAAAAAGACCCTAAT